AGTGCCACAATTACAGTTCTCCGTCTTTCCATATCGTTCTTCATTACTGTTTGCTTATCCCTCGTACGTATTAATTATTTCAAAAAGGTTTTACTACAGAGGACACTTGCCTTTTTCCTTCATAAAAGGACAACAACGGTAAGGAAGCCAAGGCGAAGCCGGGCTTCGGCGCTAGTTACTACTATCTCTACCACTACTAACAGGCAATATATTTGAGTGTTGGTAGTATTGGTACTAGTACTGACGCTAACCTTTGTCAGAGGTGACGCAGACTAAAGCCAAAGCTGGGGCTCATATCTCCCCGATCCCAACAGGGAGTGTGCATCTGGATTTATTCTATTTCGAATAACTAAATGTTTGAGGCCCCGGGGCATTGGGGCTTTCCTTGGTTTCCGCCCTTTCAATTCTATCCACCAGGCTGTCATCTTATTGGTGAACGAAACGTTATTAAGTAATATCTCAAGGTTTACTATACCTTTATGTCGCGTGGTGCCATTTACCGTTATTACGCTAACTTTTTGCAGTATCTAATTCTATCTTGAGGTTTAGGGGATGCTTCCTGTTTGAAAGGAGAGCAACCTGCTCCATAATCAACTCACATTGCTATACCCTATAACTGTTTAAGTAGCTGAGTAATAAGCAAAACAGACGGGAATATGATCTTGCCAAGTTTCTCATCTTCACGTGGTGTTTGTGCGAGACAGTTGGGATTTCCTGCGAGCATGTGGTTTCTGTACGGGGCTGCAGATCAGCAGATTACACCGGACTACACGACAGATTCGAGGTTCTCACGAGCGACATCAGCCGTAGTACGGTGCGCTGGATACCACGACAGAATCGACCGACGATTATTACAGAGAAGACGATTAATATGTATCAAGCAACACCCTATGGTGATTGGAATGAGTGTAGGAAAATCATTCCATTAGACATCGCCCAACCTTTACCTGAAGACGAAGCCCAATACGAATCACACCGCCGTCCCAACAACGCTCCCGCATCGGACGAATACATGAACGATTTACATAAGTCAAGGAAGGGAAAACAGTCATATCCACTTCCGTTGTCTCCGCAGAACGCTACAGTTGGGGTGACAAGACAGGACTCCCGGTACGGAAGCTCTGGAAAGGACCGATATCTTCAGTATCCACGCCATGCTGGAGTAGACATAAATGCGTTGGGGGTCGCCACCTCGTGCGGATGGATGACGAACATCTGCCAGGGGGACTATTCTATACTGATGTCGTTACGATTGTTTGCAGAAAAGGCACGCAAAAGCGTCGTTACAATGAGCTCCAACCTTTAATATCTGAAAATGAGTCCTCTCGTCTGGGAGGACGTCGTCTCGTGAGCGGGGCGCATTGTCACAAGGACGGGAGCCGCAATGTACGAAGCGAATCGTCCAAAACGCAAATCTCGAATACCGCACAATGCCAATCAAACATGCCCGCATTATTAACTTACCCTGAAGGCGCTCAAGTCGTCATGACAATCTGTTAAACTCATCGCTGCCGACACGGAGCGCCGCAATTATCAGCAAGGTCGTGGAAGTACATAAGTCAGTGGCCACCTTCCATTCTTCACCATCACCCAAATTGTACTAAATTGCTCCCATTGAGGCTAAAACTTTAAATTCCACATTGGCCTGGTCAAGCGTGGGCGACACCATCGGATTTCGACTGCCGAAGAGATGGCCCGATCCCCAATATAATCATGTCGCTCACGGCCCACAGGATACTCACATTAACCCTACGAGTAGAGGTGAAAATATTCAGTCAAATAACATGATCCAAACGACATCACAGCACCTACCTGCACACAACAGCGGCACTAAGTACTATACGGAGCGAGACCCAAACCGGTGACTTGCGTGCTGTTGTTAAGAGACAGATCCACGCGGCATCCACCGTATTCTCTCCTCCTTCACATATCTGGCTCCGACAGCAAGAAAATGTCGATGCGACCGAAACTAGGCGCCGGCGCAGTGGTTGACAAAGCTAAACGGTTCAGTTACGCATACTACACACGACCTGCCCCTTAATATCAGGGCGCGAAGGGGGAATCCTCAGTATCCACGCCACGTTGGGGCAACTTCAACTGCACTAGAGCGACCACTTGGCGCAAATGGACGACGGACGACTACTCAAGCGGCGGTGGGTGCCCGGTGACAAGAGGTGCTACAGCGACAACCTGAGTAGGCTCCAAATCAAACCGATAACCTGAGTGAACCTCCCATAGTACCGAACAGCATGGAGAAGAGCAGTGAAAACCGGTGCGACCACATACGAAACTAGTCGGATTGCCGCTGCCAAGGCCAAGTTCGCACTTAACAGATACATCATCAGCCCAGGGGGTGTAATAAGTTTAGCGGCTGATGAGAAGACTGAGATCCAGAGGGCGACGGCTCCTTGTAACCCCCCTGTTCTGTAAATCCGTGTGTCTCAGAGAGGCTAGGTCATGCTGTGGCGCGTGCAGACGTGTTCGTCGGCCCTGCAACCACACCACATCAGACATCTGACCGACTCGGACAATGGCCTGGTACGGGCGGTGAGAGTGAAGTCGACGGCTCAGCGCATTTTGCTTACTACAAAAAACCTCTTGCGCTCAAAGATATCACGACGCGCTAAAAGCTGTCTTGTGCCCTCTGTAATGCTGACTATAACAAGGAGTCAGCGAACGGACGAGAAACGACTTAGCATCCGCTGTACGTACACCTAAAAGAAGTCTAAAAGAATAAGAAATGCGTTTTAGCCTGCAGCGACTATTCATTAACTGCTGAACCCCTCGCCTCAGAACGTGCTAATTAAAACCATCAAACAATTGTTACACATAAACCGGCACCAACCATGAAATGCAGTCACTCACGGCTGCGGAGAAGTCATTTTACATGAAGGCCACTAGGATCGGCAGAAAAATGCAACCAAGACCCAAAAAGCCGGCCAAATTACCCAAGCCAGAAGAGGGAGCGGAACCATTCCTAGCTCGACTGCTTTGAATAATTCTGAGGATTAAACGACGTAAACTCATTATGGACACACAGACCCGACAGTCAAAAAGCCTTTGCAATGCTGCAACAAACTGACTTCAATGAAGCGATCGCTAGTAAGTTGGCTTATGATGGCCTGCCGAAGCGATTTTTCAGTAGTGAAGTTGCTAGAAATACTCGCAGGCAAGCAGACCGGAAGCAGCAACACCCACTAAAAGGTCGTGAAATTCATCCATAGACCTAGAAAAACAATTGCGCAGAATCGGTAGGTGTGAGGTGTCGCAGTGACTTTTGAAGCCAATTTACCCCGGTATAGCAAGGCATTAAGACGTAAATGCAAGAATGGACTGACAGGGATCACTGTGCTCAGTACTCAACTCCTACCACTACGTCTTCACGGTCAATCCACGCCTGAGTACTTTTTCGTGCGTCAGAAGCCGGAACACTCTCAAAAATCTACGATTCTTGAGAACGGAACCCACGGCCTACACCAACTCTGTGCGGCTGAGCTTTTTAATCAGGGTTCGCCCCCTGCTGTAGACTGACTTAGCCATACAGCAGGGATGCCGAAGTAAAACAGCCACTGCCCACACCTTGAATCCGGGTTTTGGCCTGATCGAAAGTCTGCACATCCATAGTGGGACGAATTGAGAAAGGATACCAAGAGTCTTGGTCCCGGGTCATCAAGCCACATCAAGTCGTTGCACCAACAGGCACAACATCGGGTTCTCGGAGTCAACGCATGTGCACGTGGATT